AGATACTTTAGATAGATCCTGACACATGCTTTATAAGTTCCTGATTGATTGCATGGAATTAAGTTATTGGGCAGAGAACCAGCTAATGGAAACACATCGATAAAATCATTTTTGAGGGACATTAAATGGAACTTAAAATAAAGCTGAAATGGTTTTATGGATTTTTCAGTCAAACTGTTTATGAACATTTATTGCCTGTAAATTATATTGTGTCAAAGGAAAGAATCAGTAGGTATCGTTTCAATAGAAGCCTTTTTGAAATAATAAAATCAAGGATAATATATTACCCAAGAATGGGGAGAAGATAGGTTTGGGGATTTGTATCAATGAAGACAATCTGGAAAAGTAAGAAATGTGGAAATCAGAAACCTGGTAGGATTTAAAAATAAAAGGTCTTTTTAAAAAGTGTTAAGATTTCATCTCGTTGCAGATATGAATTGGTTTTGGGAAGACAGGTAACTTGGGGCTTAAAGCACTTCTTGGGGGCATGATCCTTGATATTTATTCTGACTCAGGGAAAGAGGACTAAGCACAGGGCAGATGAGTCTGCTGAGAGACATTGTCCAGAGCATATGAGAAGAGCATTGGGTCTGGAACCCCAAACTCCTGAGCTCTGTGACTATAGAACAGTTTACATGTCCCCAAGGCATAGATTGTACATTGATAAGTGACTCAGTCTCTTCACCATAGGCATGCATACATCATAGCATGTTTGTTGAGGTCTGAACACTTATCTATGCATAGGGTCTCACTCTCTCATGTGAGTTCCAAGATGAACTCAGGTGTTCAGCCCCACATGACAAGTGATTTACCCACTGGGTCGTTTTGCCAACCTATGTTCTTTTCTAAAAAGAAAACTGAGCATCATGGGAGTTGTATGTTATGTTCAAGGTCCCTCTGCAAACTCATATCTTCCTCTAGAAATCTGGGTCTAAAGGCATGGCCTTTGGTGTGCAGGACATGTGGAGCCCATTGACCAAATCCCAGAGCAGAACAACACAGGGGTTACTGGATTAGATGATGAGAGGTGAGGGAGTGTGGGCATCTTGCCTTTCCCTCTCTTCCCACAGGAAGTCCCCTTTCCCACCCAAAGATGCTCCTGTGGTGTTTGTTGCCTTGTTTTTCAGTAGGTGCTACATTCACCTGGGTTAACTAGTTCGCAACACATCACTAATCAAAACAAGTTAAAAGAGGGCTTACAACATCAGAAGGTTCAGAGTGTGGTCCTCCAGCTCGGTGTTCTCTGTGAGGCAGAACATAGCAGTCAGAGATGGGAGCAGATGATGTGCACTACATGTCAGGCAGGAAGCAGAAGGAAACAGAGATACAAAAACCCAGTTAATACAAGACATAGCCTCCAACAGCATGTCCCCACCTCTACTTTCTTCAGCTTGGAGCCCTTCCTAAACCTCCTAAGACCCCCTCAAAATACCACCAAGAGCTAGAGACAAAATATTCAACAATAAGCCTGGGGAAGGCATTTGATATTCAAACAGTAATAACCTACTATGGACAAAGCAAGATGATGGGGTCCTGGAGCTAAAGGTGGGCCAATAGTCACATGCTCCCGTGAATCTCTGCAGGTGCAGTCCCTATAGATACGGTTATGAGACACATGTGAATTCTAGCTAAAGTCTTTAGATAAGTGTTCCTTGGTATGGGAGGGGATTACAGCCCCTGACTACCTTTGACTTTAAAGAGGTGTGTTTATGTAGCCTTTACCCTATTTCTTTATTAACAGTGTTTTTATTTTATAGGTAGGACTAAAATAATATTTTGAATTGTGGTTTGTGACACTCTCTTAAAATATATGTTACCATGGAAGTATGGGATTTTATGACAGGAAATGAGTACTCCAATAGGAATTGCAACATCAGTCAGAAACCAGCCCAGTAGCAGCCCAAGGAAGTTGCACCTACTTACACAGATCTATGACAAGTTGAAGAGATAGAATGATGTCTATAACATACATAAAAATGCTGAGTGGTGTATGTTGGGTGACAATAAATGATGTAGCCATTTTATATACATATTGTGTTGAGTGCCTACTGTTTGCTTTTGGTTGTGTTAGGCAATCAGGATGTTGCAGAGAGAAAGACATTCTCCTAGTCAGGGAGCAGCAAAGGTATTTTTGGATCAGAGAAAACTGGCCCTGAACTCTGGGGTTCAGAGACTATGTCCGTTTTATGCATCATTATTGTGCAAAGTGTTGAGACACCTCATCATGGTCACTTATTTCCTCTTTGGACTGGCTCAGAGGAGTGATACAGACAAAAGCCATGAGCTTCAGATAAGTAGCTCCTTATTGAACTGAGTAAATCCAGGTGTACAATTGAGTTTGATTATCTTCCTTGGCTAATGAAGAAACTGACACAGTCAGGATTTAACTGGGATGAAGAAACTGGTCAGGCATTTGAAAGCAATTTTAAAAAGAAAATGCCATTCTTCAAGTTTGAGTGATTAGTCTGATGTAATGTAGCCTCTGTCCTACAGTATATCCATATTGTATGGATACAATATGTATCTGTAGGCTTCAGATGTCTCATGAAATGAAGGTAGGGGTGTGCATGGCAGTGGACAAAACAATAAGTTCCATGGTTGCAGTAACAGTCCACATAGAGAAGGCTGTCCACAGATAAGAACAGTTGCCATAGGTGTAAGCCAGACAAATAAGGGTGACTTTTTAAAAAAGATAATACTCTTTATGCTTTTGTAGAATTCCAGATAGAGGAAAGGAGATTAAACTAGAACTTAAATATACCCACAGTATAACCAAACGAACTCCTTTCTTTACAGAGATATAGCAAAACTACAATTAAAAGGAACATGGCTACATCCCAGTAAGGAAAGTCCCCATTCAGTGATATGGTTTCTTCAGAAGAGAAGGTGGTTGGGGATGTGCCCAGGCCCTCACGACATCACCATGTGACTTCTATGGGGTTGTTTAATCCCTGGCAATTCTACAGTTCTCAAGTACCACATGCTTCTTCAAGTATCCCAGAAATGCTGGCATGTGAAATGGACACTCATTGTGATGATTAATTTCTTTTGTCAATTTGATTGTATAAAGAAGTTTCTAGAGGGTTAGACAGACATACTTTGGGGTTTATCTATGAGTACTTTCCAGAAAGGATTAACTGGTGGGAAAAAATATGAGCCACACCATCCTGGGGACTAGAGGCTCAGACTGAATAAATATGGAAAAGGAAAAGGCCACCTGAATGCTGGCATCCCTTTTTGTCTCTGCCTCCTGAACTGCCCAGGTATAAGCAAGCTCCTGCCATCATGTCTTTTCCATGAGGAACCATAACCTCAAACCATAAGCCAGGCACATCCAAATGTGCTCCAGAATACCTATGAATATGGCCAAACACATGTGTAGACTAGATCATGTGTGGCAACATCATGTCCCAATATCAGAATGTTGGGTAGCCCTGTGTGAGCCAAACCTTTGGCCATAGCAAAGAGGAAATTAAATACATTCTTCAAAGCCAAATCTGGTGCATATTTAACAAAAGCTACATGACAGTCTAAAATCCAGTTCATTCTACACTTATATAAAAATACAATGTGGAAATCTCTGGGGCAAAATTAGTAATTTATGCATAACAAAACTTTGAACATTCTCATGTAATTTGCATAACAAGCTGTAGATTTCATTATATGTATACTTTAATGGGTTTGAAATGATTTGGAATCTTAAAAGGCAAGAACAATGTCAGTGCTGTGGAAGTGCTCAGTGGATAAAGTGCCTGTTATGCAAACACGAGGACCTGAGTTGGGGTCCCTAGTACCTATGTAAAAGGCAAACTCAGTGGTATCCATCTGGAACTTCAGCATTGGAAGGTGGAGACAGATGGATCACAGGGACTTGCTAAATAACCAGTCTGGCCACAACAAAACTCTCCAAGTTCAGTGAGAGACCCTGTCTCAAAAAATAAGGTGTGGACTCCTTGAAGAAGACACCCACTGTCAACTCTGTGCATGTGAGAGCACACCCGAGCACACATATACATACACAGACAAACACACAAGAATATCTCTAGAGTGAGAGAGGTTTGAAATGGCCCACGCTTAATGTTTCTGCCCACTGAATGTGTCAGCATCAAACATCATACACCAAATGTGAAGCGCTTAACTTCTTCAAAGTACAGGATACTCCCCCAGGTATGTTTAATTGAAAAGCTAATATCCAGGGCAGTTGTCCCCAGTACACTGTAGATTAAATGCTTTGAAATCAGTTAGGGAGCATAAAAATCAGATCATCACTACTTTTTCTAGCTAGAGTGGTTCGGCTGATGTTGACAAGTGGTACAAATAAAGGCTGATAGCTCAAGCAAGAGCTGAATGTCTTTGTTGGGCTGGGGATCAATGTTAATACTTAGCATAGACAGATGTGCTTCAAGTGATCTTCCCTAATGTTCTATTTGCATAGCTTTTCACAATCAGAAGGCAGAACTTAATTTATAGGAAAAGCTTTAGCTTGACACCAGGCAAACACGACCCATCTAATCCCATGTGACACAATTTGTATTGTATCTCAGGGAAAGGGCCTCAGCTGCTGTATTCAAAACTTCCAGTCAGGTGACTATTAATAGTTTATAGGAGACAAGAATTAAAATTTCCCATTTCAAGGCATCTTTTTAAAGGTGGTTTCCTTTTTGAGGAAGAGGCTATCAATTTGAGAGTGAGAAGGGGGCACATTGGTGGGCTTGGGGAAGGAAAGGGAAAAAGAACGTAATGTAATTATGCTTTAATTTAAATGTTTATTTGTTTTCTTTTTGGAAATCCAGGTGGACTTTTCCTCCTGGCCTCCCTCTTCTGTAACAGGAGTTGTCCCTGGTTTTTTCAAGGGTTTTTTGCAGGAACTGATTCAACACCGTACTCTCCGAAGCCCTGAAGCTAGTGGCAATATGCATGCTGTCAGTGCTAATCAGTATGCTGTGGATGCCCTCGGTGACCCCACATGCACAATGTCTATTTTGTCTTTTTCTCTGTAGGAGCTGAAGGCACAGTCTTTCCCAAATCCATAGAAACACCTAATGTCAGAGCAGACCCCTTCAAGGAACTAAGGTAAGTTTCTCGCTTCGATTTGCATTGATCAGTGGCTGTTTCCTGTCTGTGGTTGGCCAGTGACTCATGTTGAATAATGCTGACATTTAATTTGTATGAAACATGTTAACTGGGAGTGATTGGAGAATTATTATAGACAGTGATAATTTTTTTAATCGTTTTTTTTCTTCATGAGTGCTTAAGGAATTGAAGGTCTGGAGTGAGAAGTTGCTAACTATGTAAAGTTGATTGGTGATTAGATTTCTGGGTTGACATTATCTATTAATTGCTTATTTCTAGGTTGCTATAAATCAATAGAGTTAGAAAACGCATCACAATTGGTGTTGATCAGCTGACCCAAAAGTATTATCTAAAAGAAGTTGGTTTTTAAACCCATTTCAAATGTTTTCCATGTAGCAGAATGTCTAATACCTGACACCGTATAATACTGTATTCTATAGATATTCTTTGCACTAATGTTGCTTTTCAATATCCATAATTGTGGGTCTTAGCAGGGGAGGTATCTAAAATGCTGTGCAGTTTCTACCAACCATGTAAAATGAAAAAGAACAATGTACAGATGAATGGATATAGAGATATAGCCTAAAGACCATCCTAGGTGCTGACAGTCACACAAGAGAAACACATTCAAAATGGTATGATGATATAAATACAACTGCAGTTTCTAAGGTAGGATTATAATCACCTAGAAGACAGGAGAATGCTGGGTTCTACTGTGTTTGATAATTCTTTAATCTGCCACCAATGGTGAATCACGAGAAGAGGACAGACAACACTGACTAACTATTTCATAGTAGACATCAGCTGTAATCAGATACATTTGCATTGCATAGGCTGTATCTACTCTTTCAGAATGTAGTCTCTAGAGCTATACTTTGCTGAAATGGTCACAGCCACAGGGGAACCTGTATTCCCTTAACAGAAACACATTCTCAGTCATGAGAAATATATCATTTCATTGCCAACCCCCTAGCATTTCTTCAAAACTCCCTAAGGATAATGGGAAATAGACTGAGAGAAAAGAGGAAAATTGTTAGGGAATGAGGACTCCCCCCCCAAAAAAAGAATCCCAAATACAATGGAGCTGAATTTATAAGCCAGCTGTCCTGCATGTGTGTGTGAGCATGTATGTGCACACATGTCTATACATGTGTGATGAAGTCAGTACATATATCAGATATCTGTACTCCCACCACTACTGTAACAAGTCTCACAAGAGCCAAGACATAGAATCAACTCACCTGTGTCTTGATGGATGAATAGATAAAGAAAACGTGGCAAATGTGTAGTGTCACTGAATTTTGACTCAGAAACTGCATCAGGGAGAAGGGCTGTGTCTGGGAGTTTTAGGAAGAACAATTCAGGGCTCCAGTTTTAGATAGCTAAGTCAGTGTTCTGGGAAAGGCATGGGAAATCTGAGCTTACGTGGGCTATTTACTGTAGAGAAAGTATATGTAAACTGAACTGAAATGTCTGTAAAGTTAGAGTCCAGTCACCAAGTGATGTACATCCTGAGGCTTCGAGTGCAAAGGCATTGCCTTGTGGTTCTTGTGCTGCAGAGGCTTCATGTGAAAGACTCACATTTTAGGCAACAGTTGGCAATTGGAGTCATGCCTAACTCTATGTCCTAATGACTCCCTGACCCCATTTTATAAAGTTCCATCAAAATTGCTTTTATAATAATAATTGTTTTTTGCAATAAAAAGCCATAAAAAAGGATGATGGCAACATGTGACAGCATGGATGAACTCAAGGACATTACATTGAGTGAGATAAGCCAGACACACAAAGACAAATAGTATGTGATCTCATTCATATGTTAAACCTAAAATATGTAGATTGTATAGTGCAAAAAAAATGGAATGTTGGTAATTATAAGTAAGAAGGAGATTGGAAGAGCTTACATAATGGGTACCAAATATACATTGGTATGTATACCAAATATACATTGGAGACTGGAAGAACTTAGATAATGGGTACCAAATATACATTATTCACATTACACTGAAATCTGTTCTAATGTTATACTTTATACTGTACAGTCTAGTGCTATAACTCACATGTCTTATATAGAACCAGAAAATATGAGTTCAAAGATTACCAACACAAAAAGTGACCATGTTTAAGGAGACACAAAGGCTAATTACCTTTATTTAATCATTATTATATCATATCAAATTAGCATTTTCACCTCATATATAATTAAAATATATATAATTAAACATATAATTAAAATAAAACCATGGCAAAAGGACATTTCTCAATACATCAGTCCATGCTGGAGAGCTAGTTCATGGAGAATATAGGACAATGTTTGCTCATAGTGTGCTGAGGTTAAGCTTTCAGTGTATACTCAAAACCTAAGAGAATTTCTAATTGCGTTAGAATACATGCTCTCTAAAATTCCTGAGGAAATGAGAGTGTAGTGCAACAATATAAAATTATGGGCAAAGTCTACAGATGAAAAAAGTAATGTTTTCTGATAGGAATTATCCTCATTTCATTTTGTTGCTATGATTAAAAAACATAGTCTGACCAAAAGCAACTTGGGGTAGAAAGGGTTTGATTGGCTTATACTTTGATGACACAGTCCATCACTGAAGAAGTCAAGGTAGGAACTTGAACAAATAGTCATATCAGAATCCATGGAAGCATTCTTCTTGCTGGTTTTCCCTCTAGCTCACTTAGATATGCTTAACTGGCTTTTTGATATAACTCAGAACCACCTACATGGGGAATGGTGCCACCCAGAATGGGCTGGACCTTCCTCCAACAAATAATAATCAAGGCAGTCCCTCATGGGCATTTTCACAGACCAGCCTGATTTTGATAATTCCTCAACTGAGGCTTCTCCTCTCAGATGACTCTAGGCTGTGTCAAGTTGACGCTTAAGACTGACTAGGACAGGCACCATAAAAATATTTCCATATGTTATTTTGACACTGTTCTTTTGTTTGTCCAAATCATGGCAGCCTAAATCCAGTTGAAAATATCATAATTTAGCCTTTTCTTCTTTTGAGAATTCTTTCTTATTGGCATTATCTTAGGGTTTCTATTGTTGCAAGGAAGCACCATGACCAAAAAGCAAGTTGTGGAGGAAAGGGTATATTTGGCTTATATTTCCACATCATTGTTCATTGTTGAAGGAAGTCAGGACAGGAACTCAAACCGGGCAGGATCCTGGAAGCAGGAGCTGATGCAGAGGTTATGGAGGAGTGCGGCTTATTGGTTTGCTCCTTCTGGCTTGCTTAACCTGTTTTTCTATAGAATGTAAGACTACCAGCCCAGGGATGGTACAACCCACCATGGGCTGGACCCACCTCCATTAATCACCAATTGAAAAAATGCCTTACAACTAGATCTCATGGAAGCATTTTCTCAACTGAGGCTCCTTCCTCTCTGATGACTCTAGCTTGTGTCAAGTTGACACATTAAACCAGCCAGTCCAGGCATCTTGTAGCATGACCAGCCTTTTGACATTGCAACATGACCTTGTAATCTGCAAAGTTTACACAGCATACCAAAGCAGTCAGATTACAATATAGGTGTGTGCTTATATATACACATACACACACACATATATATAGTAATTTATATATATATATTAAAATCTTATAATAATTTAAGTAAGTTCATGGTTCTGTGTTGCACCCCATTACTAGCTATGTTCAGTTGTGAGCTACAGGTTGGATATACCCGTTAGACAAATTGAAAAGATTCCCAATTGTGGTTCACAGGCTGATTTGGACTAACTAGACTATCTGTGTATGTTTTGCATTTTTCACATATTGAATAGCAGTACATTTTACTCTATGCTTTGAACTGAGGCTGACTTTGGCTATGAAGCCAAAGGATAATGAACTTAAAGCCCATGTCCTCTGGCCTCTGTCACCTTCATGCCACTGTATATTTGGACTCAAGGAATCAGAGCACTTTAAATGAGACTCCTGGACTTACATCAGCAAGCAGAGAACCACAAACTGTTCTAGTGCTAATGAAACAAAGTGAAAATGGCTAGGTACTATGGTCAGGAATGCACTAAACTCATTCCATGGCCTTGAGTCAAACATGGAGCCCTAACATCTACAGAAGTCCAACTCTCTTTTGGTTCTAGATATCTATTTATTTTCTATTATCCTAACCTCTTGTTTTAAAATAATTTTAAATTTAAACATGAGTTTTAAAGTATATACAAATTATCCCCTTTACTCACTATTCTCTAATGTCACCATCTTACAGTCCTATGATATATTCTCTATTGAGATTTGCTTCAGGAGATGCAGTCATCTATCTCATGGATCAAGGATATGTTATTAAAACAGCTCTATAGACAGGAGCTGATTGAGATGTAAGTGAATGGATCTTTACAATTCTCTGTGCAGTTAAATTGGGATGTTTTAGAGGTGGGGGGTTCTTTTAATGTGATAGACAAATTTTCCCAGTAATTATTAGTAATGGGAAGCAAGTTGAGTCAGAAGGCCACAGACAACTTGGACCTGGACTTTTGTTAAAAAAATAAACAACTTAAATATCCACAGTGCTCCTTCACGCAGATGATCAAACATCAGAAAACTGTACCTGTCTCAGTATGCTTTTCCACTGGATTCTCTCCTGTCCTCGTTCTCAGCTACTGCAGAGTTGGAGTTCTTTGGTTTATTTGTTTGTGTGCTTAGTTGTTCATGAAAAGCAGTATTGAGACTGCTGTCATTTCTTACTTAGATGCTCCCAGTAAAGGAGAACTAGCTTCCTCAGTGCAGAGTTGTGTTTTATTGCTTTGCTCTTCCATGACTATGGTCCCTGCTTTGCAGTTCTTACTGAAAATGTTTGGATGTAATCCCCGAGCTGAGCTCAAATCCACAACAGAGGGCTGCTTCTCACTATACTGATAAGGGCTACAATAGTCTAGGTAAGGAAGTTCGTGCATGTTGACTTTACCCTACAGGGTAATACTGAAATAGTGATACACTGCTGCAGGTCAGAAAATATACGCAAAAATACAC